TCCAAAGGGCTTATGCTTGAAGAGAGTCACTTTCCCATTGAAAATGATTTAAAAGAAACTCTCTTTATTCATCAAGACCTCAACTCTTTCTCCCATGTTGCCACTAGTCATGAAGTGGAGATTCAAAAACAAACCCTTTTTAAAGAAAAAGAATCTCAACTTCAAGATTTAGTGAAGAAGAAATGGACTTCACTTAGTTCCACTTCTTGTGCTACTTCCTTGGTGGTGCCCAAGGTAGATAGCCTTCCTTTGTGTAGGACTTTTCCTACCTTAGTTGTGTCAATAATGCACCCAATTTATGGAATATATTATTTGTTGGATATAACATATGAACCTTCAAGGTTCCTTGTGACAAATTCTTTTCATAACTATCCAACAAATAATATAATCCAAAATTGCTTAGGAAATTTTCTAGTTGTATTTCCTTTGTTTTCTAGGAAATGCCTAGGTTACCACATAGGGTACTTTAGGCAAGATGTTCTAGTTTTTAGGACTAATGCATTAGTGTGCTATAGTTTTAGTCTTTTTACCTTTTTAGGTTTTAGTTATACACCTAGACTTCATCATGGGGAGGATCCTATCCTTAGCATTAGGGAGTCTAGTCTTTTTAGTTTAGAAAATCTTTTTAGCATTTTTAGTGGCACTCCTCTTAGGATGCACTTTCCATCTATATCATATACTATTACCTCTCATGCTTACTTTTATGTTTTTGTTGGTCATGACGTCCACCATAAAGAACCTCTTGATTTGAGGTCAAATCCTTTTCAAGAGGGAGGGAATGATGGAATAACACTAAGGTCGAGAAGACCAAGAGGTGATATACTAAAGGAGGCAAGAGGAATGGGATAGTAAGGCCATTTTTGGACCTTAGCTCCTAGGTTTTATAGCATTTATTTCTTTATTCCTATTTTGCCCTTGTCTTTAATTTCCTATTTTACCCTTGTATTTTGGGGTATTTTAGTCATACAATTTATTTTACTTGTATTTCCAATTTTACCCTTGTATTTTGGGGTGTTTAGGACTTAGAATTTATTTTCTTTTGTATTTCCCATTTTACCCTTGTATTATGGGGTGCTCTAGATTATTAGGGTTTTTAATTTTGGGCTAGGGTGTTAATTAGAGGGTGACACATTTTTGGTGCTTATTGGGTCTATTTTTGGTGTTAGAAAGGCTTAGGCCCAAGTGGAGGGCAAAGGTTGCATGGTCTTATCATGCACCTAGATATAGCCAATCTAAACCCAAAGATTCCATCCTTGGCCACCAAGTTGCATCTAGGGTTCATTTGCATTTCATTTGGAATGCATTTGCCTACTCCAAATGCAACCCTAGATGCCTCCCCTCCTATAAATACCCAACACCCCACCACTTGTAAATACTTTGGATTATATAGATTTTGAGTGAGCATTCTTATGCCTCAACGTCTCATCCTTAGTCCCTAGGGTAAGTTTCGGCTATCCCCCTCCTATCTCCACCCTTGGAGAGTAGGAAACCTAGAGTGGCCTCCACCTACCTTGGAGTGAGCCAACTTTGAGCACCCAAACACCACCACCCTAAGTGCTTCCGCCCAAACACCATCATTTTCACGCCAACTTCCTTTTCTTCACCATACACCTTTCCTTTTGTCTACCTTGTTGAACCTAGATCAAGGGCAAAGGCTTTCTCCCTTCAATCCCTACGTCATTCATGGAAGGAGGAATCCATCAATTGCCAAGCAATAACAACAAGAAGTGGGAAGGTAGTTGGTAGAGATGTTGGAGTGAGTGAGAAAAATGAAAAGAAAGAAAATTTTGAATTGAGGGAGGTTGAGGAAGAGAGTGGGAAGAATGAGGAGGAAAGAAATAAAAATGAGATTATAGATAGTGAGAAAATAAAAGAAAAAAAATGGAGAGGAGAAGGACAACAAGAAAAAAAAGGGCAAGGAAGTCATTTCAACTGTTCCTGTAAGAAACTTACCTTATCCTCATGCTCCTTCTAAGAAAGAAAAAGAAAGGAAGTTCTTGAGATTTCTAGATATCATAAAGAAGCTCCAGATTAATATTCCCTTCATTGAAGCCATGGAGCAAATGCCCAGTTGTGCTAGGTTCATGAAGCAATTGTTAACTAAAAAGAGAAAAATTCTTGAAGAAGAGACCGTGGAGCTCAAGGCAGGATGCAATGCTATTATATAGAAGTCTCTACCTCAAAAGTCCAGAGATCCAAGCAGTTTCACTCTCCCGGTATCAATTGGTAATTTATCAGTGGGTAAGGCACTCTTAGACCTTGGAGCCAGTATTAATTTGATACCTTTATCCATGCTGAAGAAGATTGGAGAAGTGGAAGTAAGACCTACAAGAATGACCTTGCAGTTGGTAGACAGATCCATTAGGCTTCCACATGGCATAGTGGAAGATATGATAGTAAAGGTTGACAAGTTCATGTTTCTAGTTGATTTTGTTGTCATGGATATGGAGGAGGATTCTGAAGTTCCTCTCATTCTGGGACGACCATTCATGAAGACAGCCAAGGTCATCATTGATGTTGATGATGGCAAACTCAAGGTTAGAGTGCAGGCTGATGAGGTGAATTTTAATTTTTTTGAAGCCATGAAACACCCAAATGATAAAATAGGATGCTTTAGAGTGGATGTGATTGATGAAGTGTGTATGGAAGCTCAAAGAAAATTCTCAGTAGCCACACCATTAGAGAAAGCATTGGTGAATGCAGTCAGTGATACCAATGAGGAGGAGGAAAAAGAAATTCAGAAATGTTTGGAGGAGTTGGATAAAGAAAAGGAGATCTCTCCTAATTCTACAAGTGTGCAAGATTTAAAGAATGAGGAAGAGTCTCAATCTCAAAAGTTAGAACTGAAGCAATTGCCAAGCCATCTCAAATATGTGTTTTTAGAAGAAAATGGTGGCAAACTAGTTATAATTAGCAGTTCCTTATCAATGGAGGAGGAAAAAAAGTTAGTTGAAGTTCTGAAGGTGAATGAAGGAGTTATTGGGTGGACTTTGTCGATCTAAAGGGTATTAGTCCTTCATACTGTATGCACCGGATCTTGATGGAATAGGATTATAGGCCCGTAGCACAACCTCAAAGGCTCCTTAATCCAACAATGAAGGAGGAGTCAGAAAAGAGGTAATTAAGTTACTTGAAGCTAGGATGATCTATCCTATCTTCGACAGTGCCTGGGTTAGCCCTGTTCAAGTGGTTCCTAAGAAAGGAGGCATGACTGTGGTGATGAATGACAAAAATGAATTGATTCCTACAAGGACAGTCACTGGTTGGCGGATGTGTATTGATTATCGGAAGCTGAACCAGGCAACAAGGAAGGATCACTTCCCTTACCCTTCATGGACTAGATGTTAGAGAGGTTGGCAGGTCAAGCCTACTACTGCTTTTTGGATGGTTATTCTGGGTATAGTCAGATAGCAGTGGACCCGAAGCACCAAGAGAAGACAGCATTTACATGTCCTTTTGGTGTTTTTGCATATAGGAAAATGCCATTTGGATTATGTAATGCACCAGCCATATTTCAAAGGTGTATGCTAGCCATATTTTCTGATCTTGTTGAGAAATGTATAGAGATTTGCGTGGACGATTTTTCTATGTTTGGAGCATCATTTGATACATGTCTGAAAAATCTAAACACTATATTGAGGCGGTGTGTTGAAACAAACTTGGTTCTTAACTGGGAAAAAAGCCATTTTATGGTGACTGAAGGAATAGTGCTTGGCCACAAGATTTCTAGAAGAGGCATTGAGGTGGATCTAGCCAAAGTTGAGGTCATCTCTAAGCTTCCTCCACCAAAAAATGTGAAAGGAATCAGAAGCTTTCTGGGACATGCTGGATTCTATAGGCGGTTCATTCAAGATTTTTCAAAGATCGCTAAACTGCTTAGCAATCTCCTTGTGAAAGATGTTAAATTTCAATTCGATGATAATTTCTTGTCTGCTTTTTCATTATTAAAACAAAAATTGTGTTCAGCACCTGTAATCACTAGCCCTGATTGGAATTTTGATTTTGAACTAATGTGTGATGCTAGTGACTATGCAGTAGGTGCTGTTCTGGGTCAAAGGAAAAATAAGATTTTTCATGTCATACACTATGCAAGTAAGGTTTTGAATGAAACTCAAATGAATTATGCAACCACAGAAAAAGAACTACTTGTAATAGTGTATGCACTTGAGAAATTTCGTTCTTATTTGATTGGTTCTAAAATTACTATGTTCACTGACCATACAGTCATTAAATATTTGTTGACTAAATCTGATTCCAAACCAAGGTTGATAAGATGGATTCTGTTGTTACAGGAATTTGATTTAGAAATCAAAGACAAGAAAGGTTGTATAAACCACATTGCAGATCATCTGTCAAGACTAGAAAATGAAGAGGTAACCATACTTGAAAGTGCAATCCATTAGGAATTTCCAGATGAGAAATTATTCTCTGTGCAAGAAAGGCCTTGGTTTGCTGATATGGAAAATTTTAAGGTAGCTGGGGTTATTCCAGAAGATCTCAATTGGCAGCAGAGAAAGAAATATTCTTCAAGGATTCTACTTACTATGTGTGGGATGATCCTTATTTATTTAAGATTGGTGCTGATGTTTTGTTGAGAAGATGTGTTTCAGGTGCAAAAGTTAAGGATATCTTGTGGCACTGCCACAATTCACCTTATGGAGGTCACTACACAACAGTAAAAATTCTTCAATCCGGATTCTACTGGCCTACCATCTTTAAAGATTCTCATAAGCACTACAAAATTTGTGATAAGTGTCAGAGAACTGGAGGAATTTCCAAAAGACATGAGTTGCCTTTGCAAAACATTCTTGAAGTTGAAGTCTTTGACTGTTGGGGAATTGACTTTGTAGGACCACTTCCATCTTCATATTCTAATGAGTACATTCTGGTTTCTGTGGACTATGTTTCTAAATGGGTGGAAGCCATGGCGACTCAGAAGGCTGATGCACGTACGGTGATCAAGTTCTTAAAGAAGAATATCTTTACTAGATTTGGAACACCGAGAGTGCTCATTAGTGATGATGGTTCTCATTTCTGCAATAAACAACTGAAGAAGGTGTTAGACCATTATGGTGTGAGACACAAAGTAGCTACACCTTACCATCCTCAAACAAATGGACAAGCAGAGGTTTCTAATAGGGAATTGAAGAGAATTTTGGAAAAGACTGTGGCCAGCTTAAGGAAAGATTGGGCTTTGAAATTGGATGATACACTGTGGGCTTATAGGACAGCATATAAAACTCCAATTGGACTCTCTCCGTATCATCTTGTATATGGAAAGTCCTTTCATCTCCTAGTTGAGTTGAAACATAGAGCCTATTGGGCTTTGAAAGCATTAAACTTTATGTGAAAGCTGCAGGTGAGAAGAGAAAGCTTCAGTTACATGAGTTTGAGGAAATGCAGTTACAGGCCTATGAATCTTCCCGAATCTATAAGAGCAAAGTTAAGTCTTCCCATGACAGGAAGACTGTACAGAGAAACTTCCAACCAGGCCAATAGGTGTTGTTGTTCAATTCCAGGTTGAGATTATTCCCTGGAAAGCTTAAGTCCAAATGGTCAGGCCCCTTTTTGATCAAATCAGTCAAACCTTATGGGGTAGTGGAGTGGAAGAGCAAAATTCTAGAAGATCTTGGATGGTGAATGGACATAGAATTAAGCCATACTTGGGTGGTGAGGTTGAGAAACTTACCACTGTCATTCATCTCAATGATCCATGACTGAATGAACTGTCAAGCTAATGAAAATAAAGAAGCGCTTTCTGGGAGGCAACCCAGTCAACATGTTTTGAACTTAATTCCATTTATCTATAGTACTTACATATTTATTTTCAGTGATGTTTTGATGCTTTAGTAAGTAAGTTTAAGATACAATACTTAGAGTAAAAATTTTGCATATGTTTGGTTAATATCCTGTATTTTCCTTTTTGTCTCAGGTGTGCTTGTTGCAGATACAATGTTAGGTAATGAAATTTTTGTTCCAGGAAGCAAGGGCTCAGCCCCTATGAAGGGCTCAACCCCTCATATCAGTTGGCAAAACAGGGGAGCCTCTGGGGCCAAGGTGCCCAGAGCCTTTAAGAGGCCTAGTGCCTCATATGAACATTTTCAAAGAGGGCTCTCTAGAAGCAAAACGCTTAGTGCCTCTGAGTGGCTGAGCGACTGGGAGGAATAGAATCTTTGGAAAGTCTCTGGAGCCTAAGCGCTCAGCGCTTTTCAATGGCTCAGCGCCTTGTGAGAGCATTGCTCTCTGGAGCCTAAGTGCTAAGCACTTTTCAATGGCTCAACGCCTAGAATTGAATTGCTCACTGGAGCTAAAGCGCTCAACGATATTAAGGCGCTGAGCGAATGAGTGTCGAGCTTGTGTTCAAATTAAAAACAGAAGCCCATTTGCACAAGGGTTAAAAACATAACCCTAAATCAAAATCGTCCATTCCCATTCTGCTCCTCATTGAAAGAACCATTCTATTTCTCCTCCTTCTCTCTTATCATTCCATCATTGCCCTAAATCAAACAACGCACACTCACCTCACATTCCAGGTATGCTCTATGACACCCCTTCTTCATTGCGTAAGTTCATATTCAAAGTCAGTTTTACCATTTTTCTTTTGCTCTTGTTCTTCAAAGTCAGTTTTAATGGTTGATCCTCTGTCTTTGCAAAACTTTGTATTCTCAGCAGGTTCTTTTAATCATACATGGTGTAATATTTCTGCAATGCATGAATTAGGGTTTGAACTTCTAATGATTCTTCCTATTTTAAGCCCTAAAAATTTTGTGTGCGAAAGGTCTCTATAGATTGTGGGGTTTCAAGCAAAAAAAAAATTCCATTTTTCATATTCTAAGTCAAAGTGCTCAGCGCTTCCAAGGCGCTAAGAGAATTAAGGGCAGAAACCTGTAATGCTCAAGGCACTCAATAGTTTCAAGGCGCTGAGCGAATTGAAGGCAGAGAGCCATAATGAGTCAAGGCTCAAGCCTTTCAAGGGGCTGAGCCGTTTGTACCCTGCTGAGTTAATTATTTGAAGTTGTTCTAACACATGTAATTTGTTGCTCCTTGTTTTTATTTGAATGTAATTCCATATGGGCAAGACCAAGACTACTTCCCACACTCATGAAGTTCCTGCCAGCAAGAAAAGGAAGGGCCAAGCTTCCTCTAATCCCCCTCCTAGTGATTCTGACAAAGATGAGCCTGCTCAACGACCTGTTGCTCCAATCTGTTTGGACAGGCAACGATTCCTTACCAAGTCTAAACAGCACAGGTATACGGAATTGGAGCCCAGACAAATAATTGTTGAAAGAAGAGTGGAGTTAGACGCAGGAGAATACATGGAGTTTCAAGGAGAGTTGACAAGAAGGAAGTGGAACAAATTGGTCACTCCAGAAAAGAAATACAATGAGGATATCATTAAAGAATTCTATGCCAATGCTTTCCCTCTGCAGAGGCTTGATCAAACAAGAAACAATTGGGTGAGAGGAGTCAAAGTCAGCTATTCTAGGGATGTTATTAATGAATACCTGGGAAGCCCTTACAATTTGGGAGGTGACGGACTTGATGAGTATGGCCGACTGAAGAAGGCTCGTGCTTTTAATGCTGATAAAATGGCGAAGCTTTTATGTTTGCCATATTGTACTTATATTGTGGGGGTGACAGGAAACCTAGTTTCAATTCTCAGAAAGAATTTGACGACCATTGCACGCATCTGGCAAAACTTTCTGTATTGCAACGTATACTCTATTACACATATTTCTGATTTGAATATGCCCAGGGCAACTCTTCTCTACTCTGTTTTGACAAAGGATGGTGAGATATATAAGATTGTCCTCTCTACTCCTTCTATTACAGGGGTTTCTAAACCCCTAGGATTTCCAGGATTGATTACAGGGTTGTATAAGGCAAGTGGCTCTCGCCTTTCGAATAATTTGAACAAATCTCTCTGACCTCCAATCAATGCTACATACATCAAGATCCACTGCAAGAGTGAACAGCAGGGTGATACTTCACAGCCTAGATCTCAAAGGCATTGGCAGGCATCTTCCTCTTCCCAAGTAGCTAGTCAGGCATTCATGGCTGCTCATTTTCGTCACATTGAACATCAAAATCTGGCAAATCACATGGCGATGATGTCTCTCAACACCAACCTGTACCATGCTCATCAGCACCAGTTCCATGGAGGCCCTCCATTCTAGTGGCCATCCCCAGAGACTTTTCAACAACAATTCCATTGGCCTGGGGACAGTCCAAATTTTGAGGGAGGAGAGGAGGAGTAGCCAGAACAGGAAGCAGAGTAGGAAGATGGAGATGATAGGGAAGATGAAGAAGGAAACGAGGATGAGCAGAGAGAGGATGTTGAAGAAGGAGATGATGATGAGGAGGAGGACAGCTGATGGTTTCTTAGTAGTTTTGTTTTGTTTATTTTACAGTACTTTTAGTTGCAGTTCATTTTGGGTTACATTAATTACTTTCAATCTTTAATTTCATGTTTCAGTTTGATGACTTTTCAACCGGTAAGTACTTTTGGGCCGTTTCAGTTAGCATGGTTGCCTTATTTTGCGAGCATGTAGTTTGTTAGTAAGGTCTTTTTGGACACAGTAATGTTTAACGTATATAAAAAAAATAGAATTCTCTTTGGGAACTCAATTGACAATTTTTCTGGAATGAGCATTTTCATGATTCAAGTTTTCAATGAACGGTGTTTTCTAATCTGGAAGTTTTCGTTGTTGCACAAGTGGTTGTACATTTTTGACTTTAAGTATGTGCTGCAAGCATGTTCAAGTGAAATTGAAATGAGTCTGAAGTTATTGATGTCTAGGGCACTTAACCAAACCGTGTGAGTGAGTGGGCCAAACAGTTAAAATTCAATCATTGAGAGTCATCACTAATTCATGCAGTCAGTTTTGTTTGAGTCTCTCATGAGTTAAAGTTAAGCTATGCATGAAATTTACTAAGGCAATTGTTATTATACTTAGCCAGTAGCCAAAAAGCCAATCCATGAACTACATCAACCCTTGATCAGCCATTTTGAGCCTAAACAGAACCCTTAAGCTTATAAAGAAAAACCATGATTGTCCTTTAGCCTTGTTGGTAAGAGACATTCTCATGAAATAAGTAGGTTTGAGCCAAGTTGGGGGTAAATGTATGTAGTCTTCATATGGTTAGAGTTGTACAGACAAAGTATTAGTCTCTGTAAATATAATACTAAAAAAAAGAGTTAAAATCAAGGTTCCTTGTTACCATTTCATCAATTATTGTAATATTCTAAAAGAGAAGGAACCAGTAAATACAATCAAAAGAGGGATAAGACATAAAAGTCAAGAGAATTCAAGCAAGTGCAAGAATTTGGTATTAACCCATATGAGTGAGAATGTCTCTTGTCAAACAGGCCTTTAAATTCCCAAAGAAAAACCAAATCTCTGATAGCCAGGCCACATTACAACCCTCTCAAGTCCTTAGTGATCCATGTTTAGTCTTAACAACAGACTTATGGGAGATAGGCAACAAAGCGAACTTAGCGTGTTTTGGTGCATGAAAAGAGAGAAACACTCACCCTTCACAGCATATTAAAGAGATAAACAATGGTGAGGAAATTTTAGTGCTCTTGATTGAAAGCAATGGAAGATGAGTAAATATTTCCCTTGAGTATGCTTGATGTTCATAATTTTTGTCATCATGTGGGCACCATTTGTAGTAACATGTACGCACTGGATTTTGCAAACAAGTTTTCGTTGGACTCTTTGAAACCATGTAAGTGCATTAACATATTTTTTTTTGGTGAAACTTGTAGTGATTCACTGGGTATATAAGTTAAGTTATATTATTATCTCAATCAAGACCTTTTGTTTGAGGACAAAAAAGTTTCCAAGTTGGGGGTAGCTTGATAAGTGTCTAACTAGTCTGATGAAATATGAATTTAAGACACTTATCTAGCACAATTTTTGTACATATTGATATAATTTTGGTCAATATATGCTTATAATCAAAGAGGGACTTTTGATTTATGTTAGTACAGGGAGCGATGAGGTTTTTTAATCAGATTTTGTATTCATTTTGTAGGTTTTGAAGTCTGGAGGAAAACGGCTCAGCCCTTCAAAAGGGCTGAGCGCTTTCAAGCTAGGAAACCCTTCAAAAGTGTACCAAACTGGAGGCGCTCAGCCACTTCAAGGCACTGAACGGTTTTGGCCCTGGAAGAAGGAGTGCTCTCTGCCTCCTAGGCTCTCAGGGAATCTGAGGCGCCCAACCCCTTGTGCTTGCTTAATAGTGAAGAATCTCTCAGGCACTCAGTAGATTTGAGGGGCTCAGCCCTTCAGATTACTTCATGTTGAAGAATTCTTCAAACCGCTCAGCCGTTTCAAGACGCTGAGCGGATTCTTCTCTTTCCTGCCTACTCTATTTTAATTCCAGCACTTATAAAAGGCAGAGGAGAGAGGAAAAGATTATCACAAGTTGCACGAAGAGAAGAACAGAGAGGAACCAGGAAAAAGAGCACTTTTGGAGCTTGTGGGGACGCGATTCTTCAGAGGATCTCTTTCTTCTACCTTTCATCTTGTTGTGTTGTGATTACTTGTACCATGGAGAGCTAAAGCTCTAGGGTTGGGATTGATGTAATCATCTAACTCCTTTGTATTCCTCTTTGATTCATATATATATCTCATCTATTACTCAATGTTAGTGATTTGTTTCTGTTCTTAATGCTTTGATGAACTGATCATTTATCTTTGATTTCGGATTTAGAACTTGGTTGGAAAACGTTTTCTGAATCTAGAATTGGAATGAATCACCTATTAGTTTCAAAAGTCAGGAATGATTTTGGAATTAATAGTTGTAACAAGTTCTGACTCTTAATGCGGGATATTTAACTGAATGAAGTGAGGAATCATTCATTGAGTTAAATATCTTAGAATTTCTTATGCCAATTAATTGGGTCTGAATTAAGATAGAGAACTCAATGGCCATGAGTAATGGAATCATTTGAAAGAATCAATAGGAATGCATAGGAGGGAGGTTGATGAAATCTAATCCCAACTGTTTCTCATGTCTGTTTCCCTTAAATCTACTCTAACTTTTGGTTGCTTAAGTTTGATTTATCATTCACATCAAATTTTGAACAAGTGTAATTACTCAACTTTTAAATTTACAAGTACCAATTAGTATAATAGAAATCAAAGCTTACTTCACAAGTC